CCCCCTCTACATATTACATCTGTTGTGCAATTACCTGGTTTACTGCGCAATTTAGACTGGCTACATGTACAAATTAACCGTGGCATCTTAAGAAGGTCCAACCAGCTATAAAGTTATTGCTAAAAAGTGTGTACTAGCTCTATAGTTGGTTTTTCCAGCTTTAATTTGCATGAGTAGCCTGTGCTTCCATACCTGGAAGACCGCAGCTGCTGCAATCCAGGGCAAGTCTCCTGCACCAGCATGATAGGATCTTATGCTGCATCCCACAATCATGCCTCCTGCCATGCACATGTACAGACCTTCCTGCTGTTGTTTTACATAACACTTGTTATGCCCATCTTCTGCTTCCCTGGGTCTTGGTCAAGAGTTTTCTGCTTCTTGCAGAATGACTGGTACATCTGAAAAAGGCACTTGGTTCCCTTTCACATGGTTTTAATGATGATGTCATCATGCAGGTAACCACTGATGGTCAAGACCTATATAATTAAGGTTGTAGAATACAGTACTGTGTTATATGAGTATAATCCAAGGGACTGCACAGCCCATTCAAATCTTTAAAACACTTGTATTCATGGATACTCCTCTGAAGTCAAACCACAGTAGCCTGAACTTCAGATACTAGAAGCTAAACCACACTCACAATGTTGAGAACAGAAAGTACAATCGAGTGAGGTGGATTTTGAAAGACTGTTTTAGTGAACTTTTCATAGCAGTCTAAATGATGTAACCCTTTAGTGACTTTGAGGTACATGTGTCGGTTGCTCAAATGTTCAAGAATAAACCACAGAAACATTCATTTCTATAGAATGGGAAACCAAAGCACAGAAAAGTGAAATTAACTGGCCAAGGAAACCCAACTGGACATGAACAAGGTCAGGGCTATATTCAGGATCACCCAAAGCTTCATGTCTTCTATAATAATCATAACCTGTTGTAATTTTTCTGCTAAGCAAGAATGTACTGTCTCTTTTCCTAAGTCTAAAGTATAAGTTTATGCTTACACCTCTAAGTATTAACACTGTCAGTTGAATAGCACTGTCTCAGCTTCCAGGTGACAGTTTTCCTTACTTCTTAAAAGAAGAGAAGTGTTACCAGAAATACCCTACAGAGAGAACAGTTCTTGTTGCTGGGAAGTTGCACATTCAAGTGTCCAAGCCCAAAACCACAATGTACTATTTACTTTAGACAGTCATGCGATAACGCATTTCTTTCTGTTGCAAGCTGTTAAAAATAAAACAGCAATTCAGAAAAGTTAAAACAAAAAGGGGCACCTGACTTTTCACGTAGTTAAATGTCTAGGGTAGCCAGTTCATGGGATGAATGAGAGCAAGTTTCAGGGCTTGATCTCTTCTGCCCAGATGTAAAAAGGCAGTACATAATCTGCCTACATTGCTTTGAGAAATAATCAGCACGGTAAAGTGTTGTAAAGCCAGGACAGGGTTATGACATTTGACTGAGAAGCAATTAGGCCATGCACTTCTCCCATAATCTTATTTGCACTTTCTTCCTCACCACTCTCGCCTGTGGAACAGCTTTCTGGATCAAGTTCACTTGCCAAAGCATTAAGAGCTGACCTGAAACTCCTTCAACCGTATTGGTTAATCCTTCTTTTCTCCATCATGGTGTGCAATGGGCTTCATGGAGCAGCTGTGTTCCCCTAGTCTTTCTCAGTGACTTTTCACTGTCTGAAAACAGGCCCTGCTGCTGCTGTGAGAGCCATCTGGATAAACCCCTGCACCTACATGGAGCACAGCTGAAGCCTTTGTAAGCTCCTGAGGGCAGGGATCATGGACACACTTATGATCAACAGAGCTGTGCCAATGAATCCAAGTTTACGTTAATACCATGTCTTAGTCTCTCTTGTGAACTGCCTAGTGCCAGGGTGCCGGGTGTTAGGGCATAAGCAGGTGTGAGGAGATAAGTGCAGGCTCAGGGGTGTCACTCAACTCATAAAAGCCTCAAGTCAAATCAGGGGTGCCTCACATTAAAAAGGTTGAAAGGCTGGCCTAGCGTGATAGATGCCATATTGGTCAACACTGAACCAGAGGCATGAGTCTCTACAGTTTGAGTTACAGATCAGGGTAGTGTCTCCTAAAAACTTGCATCTTCTGTGGATTAAACTCAAAAAGGGGACCACGCAATGCATACTTGACTAGGGGTTACCCAGAACACCTTTGGATGAAGTGAAATAAATAGTGACAGCCAGGGCAGTGTAAAGTACTTCCAGTAAGAAAAGCAGTGATGACCCATCACACACTGGGTAAATTATGCTTTGATCACAATCTGCTTTAAGCATTCAAAGAGAAAAAAAACAGTGGATTCTGGCTTCTTAATGATAATAATTAGAATGGAAATAGTTTGCTGTAACTGGCTTTTGTGGGCTGAAATTTTATACTGCAAAAAATGGTTCATGTTGTCTGTAAAAATAGTGAGAAGCTGGAAAGATTGTTTCCTCCTCGGAGATTTTCAGCATAAATGGACTCTCAAGGCAATTGATTTAAATAAGTCTGACACCAACCAGGCTTTTAAAAGCTTTTCATTCTGGTTGATCAGATCGAAACCGCCACTGCTCCCACTTCTGCTCTGTGGGACAGACTGCGTTGATCTGCATGGGACAAAAATGACTATCTCTTATCACCATAACATCCATGTGACCACCAGGACGGATACTGCAGCCAAGCAGGTGCAGCAGATTCCACGATGCGTTATCTCTAGCCACGTACTGTCCTGTTTCTAGAAACACTCTTGTGATTGAGGCGATAAGAGCCCACCACAGTACTTCTCCTATGTAAAGGAGTCAGCAAAAGTGTCTTCATCAAAATGAACTTATAGTAAAAAGCGCAGTAGGAAATATAGATAGAACACTGTATCATTTTCTTTTTTGCTTGCTAGGGGAGGTGCATCATATTTACTGGGCATCTGGTAAAAGGATGGTTAGTAAGTAATTAAGGTCCCAACACCTTGCAGACACTCACATGAGCAGGCCCATTCAACCCCATGCACCTCCTTACTTGTGTAAAGCTACTCATGCACCTAGAACAATTACTCTCTGCTTATCAGAGTGCTGCAGGGAGCATTAACATTCAGCCGCTACTACACAGATGTCATACTGGCGTGTTTTAATTTGAACCCTGTTAACCCCCAGTGCATCCAACATGTTGTTACAATACCTGGCATTTAAAATAGTTTAATATATATCCCACAATTTAAAAAGATATTTGACATACATTTACAAAGGAACAAAGAATGTGTTGTTGTTTAAAAAAGCGGGAAATGGAACATTTGTCAAGATGCCTCCATTAAATACCAAATCCTTTTATTTTATGATTGCCTCTAGGTTCCTGGCATTTTTCCAGCCTGGCACTGAATGAATGCTTTTAGCTTTGCAAGCAGACATCTGTGGAAGCCGAGGGTCAGGGACCCAATCCAAAGCTAATTGACTTCAAATTTCCTTGGATCAGGCTCTAGTTAGGTGTCCCAAACATTTAGGACCATCACACTGTACTCCAGTGCACAGGTAATGCTGAAATCTTCCCATGTGCTGCTGCCTAGGTGGAATTCCCAACCACCACAGGCAAAGTCTTACTAGCAGTTTTTGTCCTTTTAAATTAAATGTAAGCATGACCTTTTCCTAGGACTAAAAGCTTCCCTGTGGTGAATAATGCAGTATAGAGCGAAAGAAACCCGTGCAAATGAGCTACGAAATGGGAGGGAAGGGTAACTCCCAACCATATTTTCATTGCACCCTGAAACAAACTATGGTTGGGATTCAGTGGATTCCCCAGAGGTACTGGGGTGCACGAGCAGGAAGCCTTGGCAGCCCAGGTAATTTCCAGATGGAAAACTGGAGTTGCGGCATAACCTTCTCTACCCATCTCCCCATGGCTTTTCGCCCCTTCTAGATTCCCTCCAGTACACATCTCTGTGGGCTACTGGAAATGTGCTGGAGCTGCTGTCACCCTTTACCAACTGTGCTCCCACAAGTGGATCTGAGAGCTGCAGAGAGCTCATACATCGCTCCCCCACATCCTTCCCTATATTATCACCCAGCACTTCAGTTTGCAGGGGCTTTCCAGGAGCTGGCTTGTAATGAGTACAACTGCTTTCCTCTCAAGTCTGAAGAGATACTGAAAATACCTAATTAGCACATCAACTTCCTCTGTTCCCCAGAACCTATTTCCCAGGGCTGTATTTGTACAGTTTGAAATGACCAAACCAGTTTTAAAAAAATAATTCTCTCTCCAAAAAGCCTTCCCACCTACCCCTCGCCCTTTTGCCAAAGCTCAGTTTGAAGGAAATGGATATGCTTATAAACTCCAAGGAACAGGAGTTCAAGATGAAACCTGAACAAAATAATTATGACAAATACACCCCAATAATAGAGAGTAGCAATGAGGATGGCATAATGCCCAGAGGGGTCTCTGGTAAATGTTAATGTGTTTGCTCTTTTTTTCTATTTTTAAAATTATGTTTACAGTAAACATGGTCCTTCTCTGGAGAGTGCTCCTCCTTCCTTGTAGACTTATTTTTTCTTTACCATATCAAATAATAGAAATCTAAGTAAAAGCTTGTATTGATGATTCTGAATCATTACCTGCACATAAATAATGCAATGGATATAGGGCTTTTTGCAGTTCATGTGATCTTTGCAAACTAATCTCGATCTCCACAGATGTGGCCATAATTTTAAATATTGGCCAATGCTGACCGAATAAAAAGTTATCAGCTTATAGTTTATTGGTAACCTGTTTGTTATTCATTATTTGTGATATGCTAAAGGTCACCAACAGCAAATGGTGCTGCTCCCTGATTGGATAAGAACCATTTTGAACAAGAAAATGCAATTAGTAAATACTAAATGTAGAAAATGCTCTTTGTCTTACAAGCATCATTTTAGCAAGTCAATGCAGGTATAGATATAAAGAACAGATGTTCTGCCAAAATTCAATTAAACAAAACTCTTTTGTGCAGGTGCTCTCAACTACCAACTATATGTGAGCTTGAACCTGAGCAGACTAAGGACATTTCAGAATTTGCACAATGTTAACAGATACTTGGTTTTGTGGCATACAAATAGTTCATCTTCAGGCACCAAGCACCGGGAAGTTTTGTTCGAGGACTGAAAATATCCAGATCGGGAGATACCACAGTAATTTCAAAGTGGGTGCAATTTTACAAATATGTGTAAATACAATGATAGACAGTTTTTGCTTAACTATATGGCAAAAAAAAATTTGGGACAAATTCTGTCTTCACTTAACTCTTGCCGTACCAGTGAAATCATGCCTATACACATGCTCCGACGCATTCTGATTAGAACACGTTCTGATTCGAGCAGCGTTTCTCAACCCATAGGTCATGACCCAGAAGTCGGTAGCAAGAATATATGAAAGGGTTACGAACAAACTTTAAAAATGGATTCTCCTTTAAAGGAGAAAAATGTGGGAAACCATGGCTTTACCCTTGTAGGCTGCCAGAGTTGCAGCCTGCAAGGGGCTGCTTGGGGCCCCCCATGCCCTACATACATCTCACCCTGCCCCACACACTGGGGGGCAGTGGCTCAGGAGTGAGGGGCACTGGGTCAGGACTGGCCATTGATGTTTACAAATGGGTCCTGGTACAAAAAAGGTTGAGAACCACTGGATTAGAGCAGTCTAATTAAAAGGCTCCAACCTGCTGCAGCTTTTCATGTATTCAGTGTCCCACATTTCAAAGTGGTGGCAGAGGTGCTTTAACTAAAGCCCATTCAATGAGTTTTAGTTAAAGCACCCCTTCCCCCCAGCCATTTTGAAACATGGGATGCTGAATACACGAGACACTGTGGCGTTTTAATTAGAGTGACCCCCGAGACCTGCTTTAATTAAAACGGCTCCCTCTTCACCCCACCCCAAAGCACATGTATAAGTACTGAAAGCAGACTTTAACCTTTAGATGTTATGGGCTATAACGATCTATTTACCTTTTACCCATGCGCATGAAATACTGCATCAGACAAGTCTATAATTAGTTTAAACTAAAACAAAGTGCATGTCTATTATTAACAATATTGCTTAAAAATCTCAACACCCTGGCTGGAAAATCAAAGCCAAGTAACAGTTCAGAGACAGTCAATGCTTATAAAGCTTATGACCTTAGTTACTGACTATACATACAAACAAACAAACTAACCAGACATAGATATCCCCTAGGAATGATCATGGTTTGCAAAATTTTGGGGGCTTGCAGCCAGCCTGTAAAGACCATGGAATAAATAAATGTGTCTCCTCATGCCAGCTCATTAGTCAGTGCCCTTTCTACACTAGCTGAGAGTCTGGCTTGTAGATGTGCTTCTACGATTTTTGATCCTTTCCAATAAATATTGCTGACTCTAAGGCTCTAGCAGTTAGGAAAAATTCCACTGAAAAATCACTGACAGCACCGTACACTTTGACACAGCTTCCTCAATAATGCTTCCACCTTCTACCCGTCCCTCTTTTGGGGCAGTTGTTCATGTCTATCTGATCCCTATTGTTCTGTGACACACTAGATCATTGCCAGTGTATATATAATAGTGTATCTGTGACCCTTACATTCAGCAATCTTAATTGGACCTTTTCAGTCATCTTTAGGCCATATGGTGTAACTGTTTCTTGTTCTGATGGACTTTAAATATGCACAGTTAATTATGAATGATAATAAGTCAATTCTTTTGCTTATTTGCTTCATCCATTGCAGCATGGCATATCCCTACCAAGAACCTAAGGATTGCCTCTGTGTCTCCTTGTATTTGCTCCATCCTTCAAGGCCTCCTGCAATCAACCACCATCATATAAAGCCATGAATAATACTTCAAAATCAACAAGAGAGATCACTACTGAGCAAGACAAGGTTAGATCATGCTATCTGAATAGTGCATGTTCTCCCCTCAGACTACCTTAGTGTTTGCTTCCAAAGCCCACTGAAGTTGACAGGAATTTTTGCCTGTAAATATACAGTCGTCTGCATTTTAGAGGCAGGTGAGTGGGATGGAGAGAGCGGTTAATGGTAAACTTTTTCACAGTGACAACTCATTTTGGGAGCCTCTATTTTTGGTGTGAGCCATGTTGGACATCATTTTCAAAGATGGCTAGCTGTAATTCCAGCTGCAAATGCCTGGCATCTTTGAACAATCAGAGCTTATGATTTTAACCTGTGTGCCCAGAATTACCTCTGAAAATATGAGCCTCCATGACCAGCCACACAGTGAATAAATTTTAGGGAATAAACTCATTAGAAAAAGGAGCTCATGTCCATGGATTGGATATGTTTCTGGCTCCCAACTCAATTCACTAGGCTGTGCTGTTTTCCAAAATCTGTATTTGAATATTTCTGCACTGGTATTATCCCCTATTTCAACACTCACCTGTACAAAGCATGTTGCCGTTGATACACATAAAACCTTTGTTCTTATTGAAGTAGTACCAGAAAGACCTTTCTTTGCTTCCACCATTTTGTTTCAGACACTGTCATGATGAGGCAGACAGGCAATGAGACAGCTGTGATGACTAAACAGATAGCCAGAAAAGTAGCTTTGCAATAACTGTAAAAGTTCACAGAAAGTCTTCACTTATTCATGTGATGCCCCAGCAGGGTGGAGGATGGTTTGACTGGTACAAAATACAGAACGACAGCTTGCTTCAAAGCCAGGAGTTGGGGAAATTGCCTTACTAACAAACAGGTGGATTATTGCCTGTGGAAATTGTCAGTCTTTGTACATGAACTACTCCTGTGCCCTGGGATACAAGTGGTAGGGATGGCATAGGATCTTAGACTCACTGTATCGCACTATACAGTAGCATAATCTAGCTACAAGACTTCTACTGTGACATTAATTTTCTGTGCTTTGGATGAAATCCTACTATTATGCTTGAGAATTATGTATGGGAGCAAAGCTGTGCTGGAAATGTCAAAAATCTCAAACCCATCCTGCCTGGGCACAGCAAGATAGCCCAAGGTGAGTGAGGAAAAGGAATCCTGCTTCATTAGAAAAGAGCAACCCATGGCTCAGAATTTGTCCTGCTTGCATACCTGCCTAAAGGCTGAGCTCCAGCCATGGGCCCTAGTGGCCAGACATCTGGCTGTATGGACCTCTGGCATTCTTTGAAGTTGCCTGTTCTTTGCCACAAGCTTCTGGGTGCTGGATCAGAGTCCTGCCCAGATGCAGTGCAGGTGTGCAAGCAGGACAGATTTTTAGGGAGAGAGGTTCTTTATCCTAATGATGAAACCCAGTATTTTAGGTGTGTTCCTTCTCACTCTGTGCCCAATCCACAGGCATTATATGACTTTGCTACAGCTCCAGTCTAGGGGGCTTAGGCTTAGGTACCTAACTCCTATTGATGACCGTTGTCTTAGATGTTTAGAAACCTTTAAGGAGCTCATAAAAGAGCTCTTAAGTTTTGAAGCGATTGCAGAAGAGTGAATAACCCAATTCCACTGCATCATGTTTTTTCAGTACGTTTAATAAGGCTCTTAACATTTTCTACAAGTTCTCCTGATGGGACATAATTTATCCAGCTTATTTGAAAGAGTCCAGTGTGCTAGTCTGAGATTGGCTTGCCAAGTGCACCCACAAGAGCAGGTTGAAGTCCCCCTGGTAGAGGATGCAGCTGATACCAGACTGACTCTTGTACATAGGGAAAAGGCCCAGTAGTAGCAACTGTGGGTTTCTCACACCCACATTTTGCCCAGCTAACGGGATGCATCTGCAAATTATAATATTAAGCCTCCAGTCCACTGTCTGCCTTCACTCACTGTGCTGTGTCTGATTTGTGTAAACTCTTCAGGTCCTGTCATCTTCTATTTGTGTGAAATGTCTTGCACACCTCCAGAGCTGCATGAAAAAATAAATAACCTTCCTCATCAATAATCAAAGGGGAGAGCAGCTGCAAGCTGTACTTTGGCTGACCCTGGTCTAAGAGAACTGATATAAGGGAAGTAAAATACTGACATGTTGCACTGCAAGGCGGCAGGCATCATTTCACCTCCAATCTGAAATTATTTGCGTACCTGCAAGAGCTGGAAGTCTGAAAGGGTTTTTCCTGGTAGATAGGTATTGTACCATGCATGTCTTAACTTAGTGCTTCCTTGACATGCACACTTGACACTCAGAAGAGGTCCAAAAGAAAAAAACTGAAGGAATGTAGGAGGAGAAAGACCCTGGGGCTTCATTCTGTGTTGTGCTTGGGGGGCGGGGGGAGGGAGGGGTACTCAGCATCTCTGGCAAGGTTTGCAGCATTGATTTTAACTGCTTAACTCAAGGACATCCCTGGAATCAGAGTAGCCTGCAGAGCCTTTTAAACGTGCTGCCCCATGTGAAGCCGCAGTTCTTGGGATGACACATTATGTGAATTTCCTCTAGTTTATCTTCACTTTGTTTCTCATATTTGGCCGTCTCCAATCCTCGTAGGGATAGCAGATACGCACAATTTCACATGTTCCTCCGCAGCTGAATTTTCCATGCAAATCCCACTTTTACAGCTCTCTCGTGTCTTCCAAGAGGAGAAATGATGTTTCTGCCAGTTTAACCCATGAAAATACAATCAGCATCTGAGCTAGGGAGGGAATTAATAAATCCCTGTGAACGTGTCTTGGGAAGGAGTGCTGGTTTGCTTTCAGGACTATGATGCAATTTCATTGATGGGATGAGAATCATTTTTGCTTCCATCTACACCTTGGCATACTCATCAGTTATGTAGCCCAAATGAAGTATTCCCATGTACATCTAAAGGACCTTCCCACCTTTTCCACCTCTCCAATAGCTTTACTGATTTTTCTCTTCAGTTTTCAAAGAACAGTCATAGTTTGCTTTATTTTTAAGCCTAAATCTTTCCATCCTAACTCTCTTGCTGGATCCAAGCCTGTCTTCCTTCCTCGGGCTGCACTAAAAATAATACTTCTCAAAGCAGTTCCCCCTACAACTGTGCCAGCAACAATTGATTGAGGACTAGTTTGAAAGACTGAATCAACATAGTGGAATGATAGCAAAATAGCAACATTACATTGCTACATAAGAAGAAGAAGAATAAGTAATACATTGCTACATAATAAGAAGCTTCATTGGCAGCCCTATTAATTAAACTCCAAGGGCTAGGGACGGAAGTTACCCGTAAACCAATTTAAGTGATCAGAAACTGGCTTAAACCTGTAACAGAACAGAAGTTCAGTGCACATAAACCCATCTTCAAAATGGCTGAAACTGGTTTAAAATAAACCTGGTTGAATGGCGTATCAGACTTAACTGATTTGGGTCAAACCAGTTTATGAAACTTCTGTCCCAGACTCCTTCCTGGTTCAAATTCATCCACAGCCCCTGCCCCCCAGCCCTGCCAGAGGAGCCCCCAGCTGCCAGGGCTCTGCAGCCAGGGACCCAGGGCTACAGCCCCCTGCCCCCAACAGAAGGCAGAGGCTGCTGCAGCACAGCAGAACACAGAGCCTGGCTCCCTCCCTGCTGCCTGTTGCAGGCTTGGGTGGGGTGAGGCCAGCCTCCCCACCACAGTGCACACTCCTGGGGAGCAGGGGGGACCTGGGCCCCAGATCTGTGTGCAGGGCAGGGGTGGGGGTGGGTGTGCCCTGCGGGCTTGGGCTTTGGCCCTGCTGCCGTCCCCCAGGGCCTCCACAGCCCATGGGTGTGACCCTGTGGTGCAGGGTGGAGTGTGGCTGCCTAGGAAAGCTGCTTGCAGCTGTGAGCTCCATGCTGCCCTGGTGATGTGTCTCCCACGTGCAGGGCTGCAGTGAGGGCCACAACCCAACACTGTCCCCATGCACACAGGGGACGAATCACCAAGGCAGCATGGAGCTTGCAGCTATAAGCAGCTTTCCTGCATGGTCACACTCTGCCCTTCAGTGCTAGGTTGCAGCCGTCAGGCTGCAGAGGCCCCAAGGGAGGGCAGCAGGGTGGGAGCCTGAGCCTGCAGTGTGCATCCACCCCCACCCCTGCCCCGTGCATAGATCTGGGAGGCCTGGGTCCCCCTGTGCCCCTGAGAGTGCGTGCAGCATCAGGGAGCCACCCCCAGCATCCCGGCCAAGCCACCTGTGGCCCCACCCCACCCCCTTCCAGGGCCCTGCAGCCATACATTGCGGCCTCAGGCCCCAAGCCCTACACCCTGCCTGGCGGGGCAGCAGCTCTAGCCCCAGCTCTGCCAAACTCCCTCCCTCTCTCTCTATGGGGGCCTCAATCCGCACCCCCACCACTTATCTGCAGGAGCAGCTCTCCAGGCTGCCTGGGGCCATGCTCGGGCTGGGAGGGAGCAGGAAGAGGGCAGTCAGGCAGGGGGTGCCATGTGCCTGCTCCCTCCCAGCCCCTTGCAGGCTGAAACTCTGCCAGCCTGCAGATGGCTTACTGCAAAATTTGCAGGTTTCTTTGCTAAAATGAGAAATCTGTGTTTTACTCCAGTAAGGGGGGAAATCTGTGTTTTACTTCATTTTTCCATGGGAAACAGGAAACCTGGATCCCTGGTAATTACCCTGCTGAGTAGTCTCAACATTTTCTTTTTCTCCTTCTTCCATAGTTCTTACAGTATCTTCTTCTGTATTCCCCCTCCCCCCCGGTGTTGTATGATGGATTCTAGGTGTTCAGCTCCCTGATCTGTGGTTATATTTATTTTTATGGTTCAGATGATCAGTGAAAATCTTCATATATACTTTTCTTTTTTAATGTATGTATTTGTTTATCTTTGTTTGTATATAATGCAGAATCTTCTAAAAATGAAAATATAGACAGTGCCCCGCTGCCACAGACTTCCCAAATGCCCGGGAATTCCGAGTTCCATCGTCAGCAGCCAAATTGGTTGTTCCCTTTTTCATCTTTATTTTTCTGCAGTCTCAACTATTTCATAAGGGTTCACATGAAG